TATGTAGGCATATATAAATATATAGGCCCTATATATAATTATAGCCTTGGCCTATATTATATATATAGGCCTACGAAAATTCCATATCCCAATGTGACGATTTCTGATCAGTGTTTGTAAAGGCAAGTTCTGTAAAGTGAAATATGTGCCGATCAACGATACACGTATACACGTACCACGCCACTGCGTAACTGCTCGGTGTAGACCTACTATTAGAGTGTGCATGTCACGTGTACAGCAATGGTATTGAACAAGACGTTCATAAAGTCCATCTGACTATCCAGAAATTTATGACGAGACATGGACTGGCAACTGGGACCAAGACAGTAGAATAAAGGCGAAGGGCTTCCAACCTCAGCTCATTTCAAACCATTATCGCATTTCTAATAACAAAGAATGCACTTGAAAATGTCCGGCCCATGGCTTCCAAGCTACAGAAAAGAGATTTGGATATCTATCAAGCCTATCGTATGATTGGCCAGAGCCGCCAGACCAAGGATCGCATTTCAAATATGCGGCAGGAGGTTGAAGAAGAGTTCAGCATATGGTTTAAGGATGCTACACGTTTGGCAACACTTCTTGGCATTTCCATCTTGTCCCCACGAGCACCCAGATCAGCTCATCAACGACACAGGGCCAATGCACCCAGCACAAACCCAAGTGAATACTATTTGCGAAATCTGGCAATTCCATTTTGCGACCACCTGTCTGCTGAATTTCAACAAAGATTCAATGCCGAAAGCAGGAAGGGTGTAGAAATTTTAGCACTTCTTCCCGGATCTATCACCGAGACCGAGTCTATCGAAAATGTAGTAGATGATTTGCTGCTCTGGGAAGAGGATATGCCAAATGCCTCATCGCTGCGAGCTGAAGTAAAAGAATCGCAGCACTATTGAAACTCAGCAACATCGATGGTGCAATTGCCCTCCTCCCCGAACCTGACGGAATGCCTGAAGCACGCAGATGATGACATTTTTCCAAACATTCACACACTACTGAGAATCGGGTGCACTCTTCCAGTGGGAAGTTGTGAAGCGGAAAGATCATTCTCCTGCCTTCGACGAGTTAAAACCTACCTGCGGAATAGGATGGCTAGCGAACGGCTCTCTGGACTCACCCTAATGAACATGAATCATGAGCTGGACATTAACTTAGATGAAATCTGCCAAATCTTCATAGAAAGGAACAAAAGAAAAATGTTTTCTAACTGCATATTCTATTAGTAATTGATAACCCACTGATGTAATTTTGCAACGGGTGGAGATGCAAAATAGTGCTATCATTTTCCTCCTTTCAACTGCATTTTTACAACAAAAATCGTCTTTTTGATAAATAGCCTATCTATGTTGATTGATTGATTGATTGCATGTGTTTAATGGTAGCCTACATTTAAAAGGGGACGTCCCATGATTGTATCATTGCATAATTGAAAAGATACCATACTTTTTAGAGTAACCATACTTTTCATCTGGGGCATGCCTCGGTGACGGGTTGAGAGGGTGAAAACAGGAATGGATTTGTATTTTTGGAAAGGGGTGGCGTCACTGAGTTAATTGAGGACGAATCCCGAACCTATAAGGATGTGAAATCCATAGCGGGATTATACTTAACTTAACTCTAAAAGATAATATAAATAATCAAACTAATTCAAATAAAAGGCTTGGGATGTGTCATTTTCGGCGGTCTATGTAGTATTATTAAGCACGTTGGAATTTTTATTTTCTGCTAATTAGGAAAGATCTGTAGCAATTTTGCGCGCTACGTTCCAGTTAGTCAACTGCTTAAAAGTGTCATATCATGGCATTTGCTTCGAATCCCTTGAGGTATACAAATACAGTTAAAATATGTCGAAATCATAGCACCATTTTGCGTCTAAGCCCATCTGAAAGAGCAAACTTTTTCTGTACGCTGCGCGCCAACTGAAAGTGCCGCTCCGCTTATTAGATGGATTATTACTAATTAAATTAATTAAATTAAATTAAATTATGGACCATTATTTTATGGAAACGGACCCCCCCTTTAAAAAAAAACTGGATCCGCCCATGATAATACACAATAATGCATACATAATGATCATATCATAAAACACTGGTAAGCAACGCAACTTGTCAGGTTGTTCACTGCCGCCACAGACATTTTTATTACTTGGTATTTGCATGTAATTTTATTAGTGTAGCAAAACGAGATCGCCGAGCAACACACGGCATGATTTGATCTCCGTCTCTGACTCTCTGTGTTTTGCAGCTCGACAGCACGCGCATTTGGATGAAAAGTAATTAGATTATATCAGGGGTGAATAATGACAAATTGTCAATTTGACAATTGTCCAATTGTCAATTTGTTATTATTCATCCCTGATTATATCCTAAATGTATCACAAGGGTTTCCACGATGGGGCAGTAATTTGCTATAAATAAAAAAATCTATATGGGCTTCGGCCCGGAATTTTATGACCGAAATTACGAGAGAGCGTTTGAACTACGTGTGAACTGTCGGCTGTTTGATCAAGCTTTCCGCGCCCCGTGCTGCAACTATATATAACTATATAACTTGACTATATATATATATATAACGCGTCCGTGCATCTGCCGATATTTGCACAGCTACGTACGTCTTTGATGAACACAGGGTTAATCAGAGGTGAAAAGGTCGCATGGAGGACTGCTACAACATATCAATGCACGTGGTATAAAACGCTGTTTTAGTCGCTTCAGCCCTGTTGATACAATAAAATGTCGGGAATGCTGAAAAAATGTGTATGGAGATTTGGGGTTAGGTTTTTCTTTAGCGACTGTAGAAATGGTCAGGGTAGAACTGCCCTATGAGGCACGAAATATATAACACAGAAATTCTCTATAGTCTGTTACTCAACATTTGCTGTCCGTATATGGAGGTAATGTATGTGAAGCGGTTGTGGATATCCTGTCACAATAAAACCAGTTTTAGTTTGCTGTCTCCGTAATTAACATGCTGTTGTGGCTAATGACGAGAATAAGTTAACGTTCTACTTAACTCATATCCCGGTTATTATACTGTACGGGGTGGAGAAAATCCGTGTCGTGCTCAGTCGGCATTCATATCGTTAATGTCGCCGCCCCTTGTTTGAACAAAATTATCGACCAGCTTTTTACCCATTTGTTTAAATAAGATCACGAGCTTGCATATCTAATAGTCCACCTGTCAGTTCTTTTTATGCGCGAGCTTGCTGCATGGTTTTGCGAAATGAAAGGTGAGTATGCGGGCGAGTTCGATCAAGAGTTGGTCTGGAATTCAGCCTCATTGCTCGCTATTATAAGTCCCTTGCCAGGCGCCAACATCCGAAAATAGTAACGCCATTCACTGAAAGCAGACGCGACAAGACGCCGACATCTTACGTCATTCTTGCGTCAGTCACGACTCTATCGCGCGAACACCATCCTTGTGATGACGCGTCTATACGCCTAGTTATAGAAATAAAAGCATTAGCTAAGATGAACTCAAGTTTCAGTCCGCAGACACATGGGTTCGCCCATGTCTAGTGGAGTGTGGCTATAAAGACGTGATATGAGTGATATAAGTGGAGTAAATCTAAGAGAAACGCTATCTAGGGCGCTTTACGCATCAGTCGATTATTGTGAACATTTTTCCTCAGATTTCACAACACTTTGTAGGTTGAACGACCTACAAAGGTTACAAGACTCAGCCTATGTTGAAAACGCGTCGAGAGAATGAGCGTGGTCGATAAAAGACTGGCTGAGTTGTGAAATATATGCATGAGTTGTTGCCATCATGGATAAATGTATATAGGTCTACGTTCGCGATACGCCCTTCACTGTGACTTTCCATAACCCAGATACAACGTACGACTGTTCCAACTCAGATTAAGTGTTTTTTAATTACACACTATATATAAGACACGTACATTGCCGCGAATGCGTTGCGAAATGTAACATAGATCACACATTCAAACTTCGAACACTTGCGCGTTTCCTTTGCAGCCGATAGAATCGTTACGTAGAGACTAAGTATTTTACGCGTGTATTAAGACTGGGCTTTCGTCGAGTGTACACATATAGCAGGTTAGACAGGGTGACGCAGCATATCGCTCAGCCGTAGCATCCATCATATCGTCGAGTTGGCAGTATCCTAGCTCTAGTACTATAGCCCGCGGATCGCTGCCGCCGTACAGTTGTCCCGTACACCTGCGGCAGCGATCCGCGGGCTATAGTACTAGAGCTAGCAGTATCCATGCCGAGATCGTTGGCACACAGGCAACATGAGACAACTGCTGAAACGGGCAGCGCGGGGGAGCTGTACCAACGACACAGTGGGGAGAGGGCCGGGGCACACCCCACATTTTTTTCGAATGATTCAGTGGCGTTCGGCGAACTGGAGGCTCGGCGGGGGTGTGTCTGACGAGGCTGTGACGTACTGATTGACGTAAAACGGCGTGGGCGTGTCGCCTACGCCATATATGGCGTGCACCGTAGTAAATCATCCGGATGTGCGTACGTGACCAAGACCACGTCACCACGTTGGCGAGGCGATCGATTCATAAAGCTTCCCGCGCTGCTACGTCACGCGTAGTCACTGAGAGCGTACGATCCAGCGATACGATTCACAATTTCACACGATACGTTTGACGCCGGTCGGTAATATCGGAAGGAAGCAGCTCTATCGCATAGGAAGTGTCTGTCGTTGTAGGAGCCTGTGAAAGTGAAAAGGTAAGTCATTGAAGAATCAGAGGAATCATTGATGAATCTGTGTGTAAAATACCGAATTTCACGCGAGTAGAACATGCAGTGATGCAGGAAACACGCTACCGCGACACATCGATCTGTGGTTGCCATTCATATAAGAATTCTCATTTGTAGGGATTCTAATTTACAATCATTGCGTAAATTTCGATGTTATAAAACTATAAACTATATAACTATGTAACTTATAAAAGTACGTATATGATGTGATTATAGTAATATATACTATATAAGTAATACAAATTTATATTACGCCGAATCGAAACTGTCTGGCATTGACGGGCGGGCACTTAATTAATTGGTGAATCATCATTCCTTACTCAGATTAGTAGGGTAGTATTTCTTGCATTAGATAATGAATAAATATAATAAAGCTAAATCAGGAAATGTGCGTGCGTGTGTGTGTTCGGCTCGATATTTCGGTGAAAGGCTCAAACGGTTGGAACCGCCGCCGGTTGGAACTTTCTAGAACGTTTTTTTCGCCTGTCGCCGGCTTTGTTCTTTTCGCATGCCGCGGACGCACGTGCGCAACGGCCGTGCGCAGCGGCCGTGCACGCCTGCATGAGCTAGCCGTCAAACACAAAGAGACACCGGCAAGCAGCCAGCGAAAGCACGCGGGACGTATAGGCTACACGCTTTGTGGGGCCGTTAATTCTCTCTCTCGCCTGTTTCATAATTTGATAATTTGATCGTTGTTAATTTTAATTCTAACGGCAGAAGTTGCACAATTGCAAGAACGTTAGATTAATAACGGTTTACGGTGTACGTGTTAAACACACTAGAGCTGATAGGAAAGTAAACTGTACGTCTAGTAAGTGCGCCACAGTGGCCACACACAAAATTGCCCTGTGCATAGGATATCATATAGCGCCTGCTTGAGTGTGCAGCTATTTCTCACATAGGTAGGTGACCTATACGCAGGTGCCATCGCACTCGTTCCGCACGGTACACACGTACGCGGCTGTTTCGCGTGGTTCCATCGCTGGTGATTGCGAAATAACTGACAACTACGATATATTATAGTGAGTTGACGATAGTTGGCGATAGTTGGCAACTTCAGTCTGAAATTATCGGGTATAAAGTTAACCCTGCTGCTAACCATCATTCATAGACTTTCCCTTAGACGTAAACTATAGGCTAGTGGTGGGGGAGGATGTAGGATTGGTATGTAACTATTTCGAAATCTACACACATTTTAATTCACCCCTTTTGACGACGGCACTGGCTCTATGAGTCCTTGATGTCATTTGGATATAGCATGGAGCTTTGTTATCTGTAGACTTTACTACTATGGTGCACAGCTGTGCCATGCAGCTAGGTATTATCGAATTTATTGTAGGTGTCCTAAAAAACCAGCCTCAAACGCTGGTACTCAGCAAGCATAACAAAGATTTTTAACACACCTGCTGCTGACCTGCCACTATGCTTCATATGTTGGCAGGAGTACCGAATACCCTGAGAGCCCTCACACCCACCCAAAATCCACCACCAATTAGTTCATCAAATCATTTTTATCACGTTTAATAACAATTTGATAGCAATTAACTTGTCATTTTATCACATATGTGAAGATATTATGAATAAAGCTATGAATATGACATGTTTTATTAGACTAACTCGCTGTTGTGCTGACTATAGTTTAATATCAATAAGATGGAAGGTTTATCTCGTTTATCCTCCAACATTTCTTACATTTTTCTTTTTATAGATAACCTCAGTCATCATGAGTAGGAGTATGAATTCTGGTATGAAGACCTTTGGCTTCGGACTCCGGGCAATGAAAAAACATCCAGAGGTATTTGGGTCAATAATATCTCACACTTGCAACAAAATTGATGCGTTTTAAATCATCTTGTTAGTGGTAACCTAATCTATCAGGCGAAATCATGCCTAGGAAAAACATCAGTTTCAAATGTGTTTTTTAGCTCTGATTTGGTTGTCTCGTGTATATATATATATATTATTACACTATATGCGTATAGTATGTAACTAATTAGTGCTGTTCCCAACCCATTTCAGTAGTATATGGTGTCAGGTTTTAGCAAACAGGAAATTGTTTACGCGTAGCCTTTTCTAACACATGTTGTAGGCACATATAGTTAATAAATCACATGTCAGGACGTACTTGGAGCTATTCCGGGTTGCAGGGTGCGGCTAATGACATATGCCCTAAAAAATGTGACTGTTACAGATCATTCCGGTAACTGTGATCCTTGGAATTGCCTGCACTGGAGCCATTGCCTATCCAATCTATAGCCTGTTCTTCAAGACTGATGTTACGTAAGTTACACCTGTAGGACATTGAAAAATATTTTAAATGCTTTTCATGCTTTTTAGAAATTGGCGTCTGCATGTTCAAGCTACCATAGTGTTCACTTGCAACATTCAGATGAATACAATTTTTAATATTTTCAATACGTCCTGTAATAACCGCACCAATACTACAACTGCACCCAATCTTACTGAATAAAGAATAGGGGATTGCAAGATTATGCTGTCAAGCACGTCAGCCTGTGATCAGAGGTTTCCGTTCGTTTTATAATCTTTGTTGTTGTTGCTTGTATAGTATCGATGGTGGACGTACAGCTCGGTGGGATTCTGTCAACCCAGAAAAACCACAGAAGGTAAGAATTCATCACTATATCTTCGCACAGAATTAACAGTTGTCAAATGCTCATAAGTATAATTTCCTCAAGCTTTTTTTTTAATCAGCCTGAGTATATGCATGTAAATGTTGCTTATGATTTTTTAATGTGTAGGCTCAAGAGAATGTGGTACAAATATGTTTGTTTGTCTTATAGGTTTTTTTTGCATTTCAAATCTTAATTGGGCCACTAACTGTTATCATCATTGCTTATTCTTGCCTACAGTTCCTTACGTTTGGACAAGAGTACAAGAGCAATCCAGAGGTGGAGAAGCTTCGTGCAGAAATTGCTTAACTCCATTTTAACTTAAACTATATAATGGCAATTATAAGTGCTGCCTTCTTTTATTTTGATCAAAATTGCTGCACCAGCGTTATTGAATTTATCACTGACTCATAAAGTCTTTAAAGCTTTTAAATTTCTATCAGACAGCAGCTCGAGAATTACACAGGTAGAACATAAATTAACAAAGTATGTAACAGACATATATCCAGGTTCTATATTCCAAGATCTAGTCTGTGTCCACGTGGAAGACTTTGTGGAGATGACCTTATAGAAGCAGACCTGTACATAAGACACATGCACGTATTTATTTTACTAATATATGGGGCCATCGTTTGGTTGTTATATACCTTATTTTGTATATCTAACCAAGCATTGTATAATAAGATACTGCATCGCTGTAACAGTACGTTTATTTTACCAGTATATATCCCCATCTTTTGGTTATTATATATGTTTCACTCAATCCAGCTACATTAGGGTGTTACAGAAAGAAATATCTTCATGGGTGTATTTGCTGTTAACAGGACTGGTACTAACAAACTACAAACCGTAGATTTAAAAAGTAAGAAAAGTAGGGGATGCCTAGGAGTCTATTAGTATTACCGGTAGCTAATGTGTGGCTACTTTTACATGTTGAGATATCCCAAGATAATGTAAAAGTATTTACATTTTTTTACTTTGACGTCTACCTCTGAAACAAGAAGCAAGTGCAAGAATACGCCAGGAAAACGACTATAAACGACTACAATAAAAATATAAAAACCGATAAAAATAAGCAAAATAGGTTAAACGACTCATTAAAGAAGCGCCTGTTTTAAATTATAATATGCAAAGATCTTGAATTACCAACTAATTAAGTGTGATCGTCAGACATTCATGATTAGTGCTAGCACGTAGCTTGTGATACGACAGTCTGGTGCAGCCGCCTTCGTATTTGCCCTCGGCCACTTGGCTTCTCCGAGTCTACTAGCTGTCACGTTTCTGTGTTCGCAAACATCTCATTGAGAATCGTGTATGTAATCTATGTATCATACATGTATCATTTTATAAGAACGTTTGTCGATGATGATCGAACGCTTATTGTAACTACGTAATTTATACTGTGTCATACACAATCTATATATCATCTATTTATTGGTGCTGTGAGATTCCCGTGTATCGCACGCAAATAAAGTGGTTCGGCAACGTATAAGCCACGAAAATTATGAAAACTGCATTAATGTTTTATTATCGCACTATACGACGGTCATTCGGCCATCGGTATACATCTATACTAAGCGTTACATAATAACAGGTTTTAATTCACATGTTAGATAAAGGGTAACTTACCCTTTATCTATATAACGCAATTAATGTTTCCGTCCGTTTTAGTTACGCTGGCGTGTTTATGTCTGATGCCCAGAAATACAAAACACTAATCGTGATACATTTCATCAAGAGTACATAATAGAGATCTCTATTATGTAGGCCTACTCTTGATTTCATGTAATCTCTGTTTCCCTGTGTAGTACAGTAGTAGTAGTCGCTCCCGCAACACCGCGTTGTGTCACCGCGTTGTGTCACAACTAGGATGGCTATAGGATTGTGGATTGGGTGGCTATAAACACCACCCCTTCCTTAAGCCAGGCGCACACGTGGCGATTTTTATCGCTAGTACTGGCGATTTTGTTGCCGGCGACAGAATCGCCGAGAGATCGCCACGTGTGCGGTGCATGGCGATGGCGATTTTGACGCCAGAAACTCGTCGCTGGAATATCAAACATGTTTAATTGATATTTGTTGCCGAGTCGCTGAACAATCGCCACGTGTGCACTGCACTGGCGATGGATTCAGGCAACAGTTTTTGGATTAACTAATCAAATGCATGATTTGATATCGAAGCACGTGATCAAATATGGCAGCGCCCTTGGTGTGAGAAAAAAGCAGGAGGATGAGCTTGTTGAAATGTGGCAGGAACGCCCGTGTCTTTTTGACATTACGAGTGACGTTGCATTGTTGCCGGGTCCCGCACACGTAGTACTGGCAATAAAAATCGCCACGTGTGCGCCCGGCTTTAGACGCAAAAAAACATAGCATTCCTCAGTGAATTGAAATGAACTAAAAAAAAGTATGAGTGAACAAATTTATTTGTGATTTTTAGCTAAAACATTTAGGGAAGAAGCGTTAAGCTCAGTCCCCTCTGATTCGTGTGCCTTCTTGATAGTTGTTACTACTTTTAATTGCAACATTTTAGAGGCATGTATAACCGCCGCCCCACCCCCGCAATTTAAAAATCGTGGATCCGTCCCTGAGCAACCCCTAAACATGCTGTTGAGAAACTTTATGGACTAGGATATGGTAGCAGATGTTAGGATTTAGCATCAATTAAATATGTATTATGTATAAATATGTATATTAAATGCTGGGGCAGACTAAGGTGAGGTGGAGTAGTTTCTAACGAGGTTGAATAATGCAGGATCAATATAGCAAGCGAATCTATTGAATGTAAATGGTTAACGCCCCCACCGTCTGCGTCTGCCGTAAGCCGTAATCAATCCTACTAGCCATTTGCGGCCCGTGAATCACATTACGCAAAGATCATCAAAACATGATTGCAATATCCAAGAAGTAAATGGAAAAGTATAGGCTTAATATCTTGTCATGTAAAAGAGACAGTTCAAAAAACAGAGTAGGGTACTTCGACTCAGATTCATGTATTGTCACCTGTCCAAAGGCAATGATACCCAGCTAAGACTTAAGCCTCGTCTACACGACGAACCTTAATTAACGCTAACTCGAGTTAAGCGTTAAATCGAGTTAGCGATTATGTAGCGTCTACACGACAACACCCGATAGCGATTATTACCTATTTATTATGCATGCGTGCGTACGTGCGTGCGTGCGTGCGTGCGTGTGTACGTACACGCGCGTTCGTGCGTGTGCACGTACACGTGCGTGCATGCGTGAGTGCGTGCGTGTGCACGTACCTGTGCGTGCATGCGTGCGTGCGTGCATGTGCACGTACACGTGCGTGCGCTCGTGCGTGGGCACTTACACGTGTGTGCGTGCGTGCGTGCGTGCGTGTGTACCTACACGCGCGCATGCGTGCGTGTGCACGTACACGTGCGTGCATGCGTGCGTGCGTGCGTGTGTGTGCCGGTACGCGTGCGTGCGTGCGTACATGCATGTGCACGTAAACGTGCGTGCGTGCGTGCGTGCGTGCGTGTGCACGTACACGTGCGTGCATGCGTGCGTGCGTGTGTGTGCACGTACACGTGCGTGCATGAGTGTGTGCGTGCGTGTGCAAGTACACGTGCGTGCGTGCGCGCGTGTGCAGGTACACGTTCGTGCGCGCGTGTGCATGTGCACGTATGCGTGCGTGCGTGCGTGCATGCGTGTGCACGTACACGTGCGTGCGTGCGTGCGTGTGCACGTACACGTGCGTGCAGTGCATGCGTGTGCACGTACACGTGCGTGCGTGCGTGCGTGTGCACGTACACGTGCGTGCATGAGTGTGTGCGTGCGTGTGCAAGTACGCGTGCGTGCGTGTGCAAGTACGCGTGCGTGCGTGTGTACGTACATCGTACTAGTGCTGCCGCCTATCGTGGAGGTTAAGCTAACTCGAGTTAAGCGTCTACACGGTCCTTAACTCGAGTAAAGGTAACTCGAGTTAGCTTAACCTCGATTGACTGGCGAGGTTAAGCTAACTCGAGTTAAGGCCCCGTGTAGACGCTTAACTCGAGTTAAGGTTCTTAACTTTAACATGAGGTTCAATTGTAAACTTAAAATTTTTTTTTTATAGTGAAGAATTGCTGAGGCGAATATGCGCTCTCTTTTAAAGGTATAACTTCAACATAATACTCTTTTATTTCTCAAATACTGAGCATTTGCGAACACGGGTCACCTGCTATGCTAATCTTGTACGGAATTCGCAAACTAATGATGGATATGCGCTCCCTAAATTGAAAATTTAGTTTAAAAAAATTACTACTTTATTCGTTTTGTGAAGGCTAGACATGCAACTGCATGCAACATCAGAGCTCTGGCAACATGCAACGTGCAATGACACGTATCGCCATCTATTGACTGATATAAATTTCATTAGTGCTGCGTCAGCTGGATACACTTGAATTCAATAAAGTGAAAACGTCGAGATTGAAAGTGAAACGTAGAATTACTACGATGAGTGTTGCATTCTTTTTTTAAAGTTGAACTTCAGTAAATTACCATTTTATTTCGCAGATAAAAAGTGCATGCATGAACAAACGTTTCCTACTACATAAGCTCCAAGAAACGGTATTGCTAGGGTTAGGATTAATACCCTAAGTATAGGGTTAGGGTTATTTAATGTATATGTTATTGTTAATATTATGTTATTGTTAATGTTAGTTTAATGCTAGTTTAATGTTAGTTAAATGTTATGTTAATGATTATGTTAGGCTATTGTTTATGACGTTAACTATACCCTAATGTATATTGACGTCAGTCACACAGCCTGGTCGGGTTACCTACTACGCTACAGGGAAATTTATAACGGCTAGTATGAGATTCGGGTAGAGATTTTTAAAGATAAACTACTGATGGGTATGTGCTCGCTAAATTAAAAGCATAATTTTAATAATACACCACTATGGCTGGACACGCATCGGCGTCTACTGACTTCATACCATAGATATCACATAACACGTTGTTATGATTGTGATAGCTATGCTGCATACATTACACATATTATCGCCATCTATCGGTTAATTTATATTTCATTAGTGTCGCGTCAGCCGAGGAAATTTCAGAACAATGTTTATGGTCAGAATTCTGCTAATGGCCCTATGGATTCCACACACAGAAATAGAATAGAAGAAATAGAATAGAAATAGAAATAGAAATAGAAATAGAAACAGAAATAGAATAGAATATACCTTCTATTCTATTTCTGTGATTCCACCACAGTTGCCGCGAGGGTGGCTTTCGCGTGACGTACAGCGGCGGGCGTAATGATAGCGATAATGATGGCTGAGCGTAACGACCGAAAAAATACATACTAGTAACATTTATATAACATATGACATATAACATATTTATATAACATTTTTTTAACATATGTAGTAACATTTAGTACATTTGAAACGTCATGAGCAGAAGTCACTGAGACTGTCAATCAACGCTCGACGCGGTGGGCTGTGTTCCATGCCAAATCGGGCACACCCTGATAGCGGACCTATAATACTAATGCTGGCCTTGTACTTTTTACTTGGTAGACATCCATTTCTATTTATAACTAGCAGGGTTTGCAGGTTGTCAGCGTCAATGTTGTCGTATACGTTTCCTGACTCCATGCGGTGCTCGGATTATTATAAGACAATCGCGGACGACGCGACTGCACATTTTTTCCACAGATCGTTCTCCGACGCGTTCCGACGAATTTACTGACCCCCCCCCCTCCCGACTTGTTGGCAGTAAGCCACCTCGACGAATGGGGGAGAGGGCTGTAGGCCCCATACTTCCTCGTTCTAGCAGCACTCTTGATTCAAACTTGCATGCGTGATCAGTCCTTGGGTCCTCATCTCTTCTCCGTCTCTATCATTCTTCGATCTGTAAGACATTGGATTGGGTTTTTGAATAATACAATGACCCGCATTATAAACAGCGGAAGCCCCGTCTCAAACGCCTTAATTACGTGATAAAAATTTAATGTACATATTAAATAATAAAAACTTTACGCGAGTCACAGATTATCCGTTATCTTGACATATAGGCCTATATAGGTATATAATAATAGTTATATAGGTGTATAATAATGTATATATATAGGCTATATAATAGGTATCATTATCTTGACATTAATTAGTGCGTATAAGTGCGTGCGCGTACGTGTCAATCTCCTCTGGATGTGCATCTCCTATAGCTGTGTCAGCCATCAGCTATTAAATATATTCTAGGTTGTCTGTGATGCTATTCCAAATGCTATTGAATGTATTATACTGTATAATGTAAGTATGTTAATTTACTATCCATTATACGGCGCATTCGTTGACTTCTCATACTTGAGATGCACCAAACCCAATGATTGGATATTCAGACACTTGGTGGCAGCACTGCAGAATGAGAAATATTGTTAATGTTCTTGTTCAGTAGTTTCTTCACGTAATGTTGCGTAATTCTTAAAGTTGTACTTAAAAGTTGTCATTAAAGTTGTCATTAAAAGTTGTACTTGTAGAATCTACTCTCGGACACAGAAGTTAATGAGTTACTGTTTGAATTGCGTGTTCAGGCTTATCACGACAAGGTCATTGACGAAATTTTACGGTAACAGAAATATACGAAAACCAAAGGCTTCGGAATTGCTGACAAATCATCTCATTCAACGCAGCAAACCACCATGGACTTCGTTCTCTGTCAGGTCAGTACTAGCAAGTTACATAATGTAAATGATAATACGCCATGTAGAGGTTACAGTGCATGCACTATAGACGTAGTTGACGTGGTCAGATCCAGAAGCTATATCATAGTTCATACTCAGGCCCGTAGCCAGCTTTATATTGGGGGGGGGGGTTCGTTTTTCAATGTTGGCAATTGGCTCGGCAGGGGCGTGTACAGGATTTGTACCAGGGGTGGGTCTAACCGTAA